GTGTGTGGGTAGGTGGATAGTACAGCATCGTGAGTGGGTAGATAGTACAGCACCCTATGTGGGTAGATAATACAGCACGATGTGTGGGTAGATAGTACAGCACCATGTGTGGGTAGACAAGTAGTACAGAACTTCGGAGACAAGGGCTGTAGTTCTTGCCTGAATATTATCTAGTTCAGCTAATTTTATAACCTATATAAGAGTGCGAGTACAGACCAACATTCGAGGCAAGGAGTAACACAAGACCATCACCCTCGTGTATATTATGTAATGTACCGTGGAGAGGCGATGATTGTTTCAAGACAATCGGTGCTAAGAGGAGGAAGATATCTGATGATATGATAACTTATATATGTTACGATACGATAAGGTGTAATTATCTTGTGCATACACTGTTGACCTCACCGTGATGATTGTCACTATGGCTGCGTCTCTTGGTATCTTCTACGGGTAATAAGATGAAGCACTTTATATTTTCTTTTGCCTGTCAAAGTTAGATATAAGGATGGAGGCCAGGCGAAGGTACAGTATACATCCCCGGGCCACCTACCGTATCATATTTTGGATCCTATGAATGTTAGGAACCACCGCTTATATTTCCTAACGATATACGTATTGAGGAGCCAGGTTAGGTAAGGTCAGCATTGTGTTTAATCATCAAGTGAAAAGGCGAGGGTTGCTGACCCTTTTGAGATCCTATACTGTATTTCCACCAGTTTGACCTCTTTACTCTGTACCAACCTCAAAAAGTTTATAGACATTGCAGGTGTACAGTACAGTTCAGCATATATATATATATATATATATATATATATATATATATATATATATATATATATATATATATATATATATATATATATATATATATATAATTGTACACTCCAAGTATCGGTGCAGGGTGAGATCGACGACTTCCGAAACGATATGTATACACTGTGAAATGTCGGGGAGGTTGCTAAGTGTAATGTATCCTCATAACCCCTCCACTAGGTGTTGCCATACGGCTGACAATCAGTGTGTTTGTTTCTTCTTTTCGGATTGTTGCTTTGCGTCGACTGAATGATGAGCGAGGGTTCGGTCTCGGTGAACGTGGGTATAAAACAGAGGCAATATGAAGCAGTAGAGATCTACACATACCAGACGACACGGAAACCTCAGAGGGAACACGAGGAGCTATTATTGCCCTTCATAACGATGGGTTCGGCGTCACAGATATTAGCCGGCGGGTTGTTGTCCACAGGAACACCGCTGCACGATGGATTCGGCGATGCCTCGAAACTGGTGTTACAGACGACAGGTCTCGGAGCGGCCGTCCACACTGCACCATAACTCAGGGCCGCCAACATACGGCTGGAACAACTCGCCTTTCCCAAAATCTACCATCACTGGTCTCAAATTGTTCACACTACAGTATGCAACGATACTTTTTGTTGCGAGTGTACACTCGAAACAGTATTGTTACACCCCCTTAGTAGCCGGAGCCATAGTCAGTGAAGGTCGAGACTGACACAATGCCACATCGCCAGCCACGATAGTTCCAAAACTACCCAGCAACGTTTGGACAAGGGGGTTGTCCGATCGCTAGGCCTTAACTTGCTGTGGCTCCGGCTCCTGGGGTAATTACTGCTTCTGACAGTACAGTGTACTGCACATACATTGTGTAGGTATGTAATTACCAAAGTACCTAGACAATGCGGGTCTACAAACAATGGTAATCAGTAAGACAATTTGACCATAATTAGGTTAATATAAGCTTAAACATTATTTTGCACGTATAGTTCCATAAATGTAAGAAAAAATAGTCAAAAGTTTCCCTTAAACGCTTAAAGAGAGTGATAGTGTGTTATAACAACGCCATATGGAACTTGAAGTCATTGTTATGGAAAAGTGAAACCAAGTATAGGCGCTTGAGTGATCGTGCTTGTGAAATTGATCATTGTGATATGACGGTTATTGTGAGAGAGAGCGAGCGAGAGAGCGAGAGAGAGAGGGAGAGAGAGAGAGAGAGAGAGAGAGAGAGAGAGAGAGAGAGAGATTACTGGTTAAGGTGGCTGGGCCCGAGAAAGCGACAGTGAGAGAAAAGTGAAACTATGAGGTGAGAAGGTAGTGGTTGCGGGCGGCAGGGTGTCTAGAAGTGCGTGGTGGAGTGCAGGTGCCTTACCTTACTCCACTTGTGTTGCGTTGTGTGTAGACCAACTGATGTTATTACCCGCGGTATGTTTTAACTCGAGTGCTGGTAGGATTTACATAACCCAGTCTCGTTATTGGGTACCATCAGGCGAAACCCATAGACCACCTGTGTTGAGAGAAGCTTAGATGAATAAACCGGCTCAGAGACTCTTGAATCAAACTGTTCTCAAAGTGGAGGTGTTTGTCCTTATAAATTAACCTTGGTGTTGGGTGTTGTGGCTCTTTGAGTTATAGTGGTGGTAATTGATGGTGATGCAATGTTGGGACGGTGATGGCGGTACAGTGGTAGTACTTTCTGGTACAATGGTGGTACAGTGATGATATATGATGACTATGATGGTGGTACATTGGTAGTACTTTGTGGTACGATGGCGATATATGGTGGTGATACATTGATGTTGGTACAATGATGACAGAAGTGATGTTGACTATGCAACAATTTGGCTCGTATTAGAACTTTCTGGGTTATTTCATATTATTTCTGGTGAGGTTGCGTCCCTACTTCGTAAACATTTCACGAAAACTTTGTTGTTGGAGTCCCTTATGAGGTAGACTGAACACAAGACAGTAAGAGTTCCCCACGAGGTAGACTGAACACAGGAGGACAGTGAAAAGTCCCCCACTAGGTAGACTGAACACATGGCAGTGAAAAGGCCCCCACGAGGTAGACAGAACACAGGACAGTAAACGTCTCCCACGAGGTAGACTGGATACAGGAGAAGTGGTATAATGGATATCAGTTCCGGGACTGTTACACAGCCTGGAAGACTTACCATTTGTAGTGGTGGTGCCTTCATTCGTTTGTTTAAATTGGCTTCAACAGGGGAACTTTAGGAAGTGACACCGAAAAATATGTCAGGATCGTATGTGACTGAACTGAAAGAACAGTATAAGGTTATCCATCAATGACTTATGATATTCGTAAAGGTCATTTTCCAGTGAAATTTAGCCAAGCTATTTTTAGAGGCACGCTAGATTTGGTAACTTGCTCCATTGTGTATTCTAAACTTCACAAACTAAAAGAAGTCAATAACAGCAGTTGATCATGTAATGATGATCTTCGTTGAATCATACATAGGTGTTTATTGTAATATGACTCATTTGTGTGTTACCAGTTTAACTTGTATATACTGGTCCTTATTTTGGAATCAATTAATTGTGAAACATTTAACCTCATGCAGGGACAAACCATAACAAGTTTCCTCTGTAACAGTGTATATACTGTATAGTTAAGTTTCACAGGCTGGAGCTACAGCCTTATCCAATTTATATATCAGTTTGTAAAAAATTTCTTGGGGGGGGGGGGGAAGATTCTATGGTTGTGATGGCCAATTAGGAGCAGTGTGGATATACAACAGACTGAGCACTCACCCTCAGTATACAAAGAGGTAATATAGCTGGCACCATTCAACCACCATCACTCCCACCAACTAAAGTCAGGTACCCGTTCACATGCGGGTGGACTAGGGTTACCCTGAGAGCAGGCCATCAACCTTAGGACAGAAAACAGGGAAAGGCATAGACTGGGATGGATGAATGAAACTAAAATATGGGTCCCCAGAGAGATAAAAGCCTTATAGGATTGGGAAAAACAGTCCGAGAATGTTTCGAGTGGACGACTGTGGTCGCCAACCCCCAGATATGGGGATGGTATTCTTATTAATTAATATCAAGCATTGAAAATTTGTCTTACAGTAAGAATTAGATTTAATGTTGATAATTTATTAAGAAAATATTCTTAAAAAAAGGGAACAGTTTTTGTATGGAATATTTAAAAGAATTTTAGCAAATCAGTGAATGAAAGTACAGGTTGACAATCCCTTATCCGAAATCCTTGGGACCAGAGACATTTCGGATTTTGGAATTTTTCAGTTTTCAGAATGGTTAAATTTTTTATTTTTTTATTTTATTTTTTTTAATGTGTGTGTATTAGCCCACCCAAACCCAGATCACTGACCCACATCAGGGCTTGGGGGGCGAAAATATAATAAAAATTATAATAATAATAATAATAATAATACAGTAATAATTCATAGGTCTAGGTCGTGTTTCTCACTTTTGATCTTTTTTCATTCTTGTATTTCTTTATTATTATTATTTTATTATTGCAGTACTGTATTATTGTTATTATTATTAATTTTATTATTTTTATAATTATTATTATTATTGTTATCATTATTATTTTATTTTGGTGTATTTTTAAAAATTTTATTTACTATGAATAATTATTATTATTATTATTATTATTATTATTATTATTATTATTATTATAATTATAATTATTATTATTATAATTATTATTATTATTATTACTATTACATTTCTCCCTCCCCCCACTCCCAGGCCCTGATGTGGATCAGTGATCTATGCCCGGATGGACTAATCCCTGTAAAAAAAAAAAACCGGTTTTCAGAGCTTTTCGGTTTTCGGAATTTCGGATAAAGGGTTGTCAACCTGTACTGTACTGTAGGGAAATTACAATTCTAGGATAACACTTTAAATCAGTCTTAGTTCCTTTGTCTACCCATTTTTATTGTGCTACCATTTCTGATAAGCAGTTGATAATATCATAAGTACAGTATAAAGGGGGAAATATTTACTTAATTACTCTTCATGTTGGTTTGGCAACAATGTGTTATGACTTCTTACTTTGCAAGTATACTGTGTTTCATGCTTAAAACATTTATATCACTAGTGCTGTACAGTATTATATTTTTTGCCAACTTTATTTAATACAGTTTCACACTCTTTTGTATATTTACTATTTTATATTTAATACTGTATAATCATGAAATTTCTTCTTCCAGGCATTCCACTTGCGAGACATCCGATGTGAAAGACCAAGATTCCTTAGCAAGTCCTTTTGTGGTTTCTTGACCTTCAACATTGTCACATATTCACTCCTGGTGGCAGAGATCCTCCTCACTAGGCAGACCAAGACACAAGAGGAGAGGGTGAGTCTTTTTTACTTAGACTTAGTACAGTAAACACTTCTCCAGAAGCACAATAGGCTTTCATTTGCTCAAGGGTATAGCTATGACCTTGTTAGTGTGGTAAATTAAGATTATAGCCTTTAGTATCATTTCTTTGATGTAACTGTTGCTGTTGTAGATAAATATGTAGTGTACCTCTCCCCTTGGTGTCTTTAAAAAAAATTCCGAGTTGAGTACAGTACATCTACTGTACTTGTGATTTTTTTCTAAGTAGAACTGGCAATTTTTTTAAATTAAATGTGTTAGTACTGGAGTAACTGGAGAAAACCTGTGACATTTAGTACAGTTACACTGGATAACACCCTTCTGAAGTATGTATGTCCCATGTCTGGGATTGAACCTAGGATACTGTAGTGAGAGAGATACATGTTAAGGATTTTACTGTATTACTGAAACATTATTCCATAATCTGTTGTATGTATTTATCCTTTACAGAGTTTCTTTAGTCATGTGTTCAATGGCTGCTATGCTGTCTTGCTCTTCATAGTTGTGGTCTTCTTCTTAATCTATGGAGTTGAAGTGTACTTTAAGGTGAGCAGGTACAGGTATTATCATAATTTCTGTCTTATCGTGATGGTGTAATATCTTTGAGATGTAAGTGTGAGCTACTAGTTTGTAATATATCTGCTGTTTATGATATACAGTACAGTACTGTATTAGTGTTTTGTGTATTTTCAGTAAACATTTTGATGCTACATTTTCAAGTGTTTCTCTTGTTTAAGTACTCATTAGCAATACAGTGAAGCAACTAGCAAGTGAATCATCCTGCATTACTTGAAATAATATCTAGCCTACACCCCAGTATTTGCTATAATATAATACATATATCAACCTTTATATTTGTATACAAATATAATACTGTACTGTGATAGGTAAAACTCAAGACGAAAGCTAAGGTGCTCCGTTGTTTCCCTTTTCCCGTGTGATTTTATCAAGATATATATATATATATATATATATATATATATATATATATATATATATATATATATATATATATATATATATATATATATATATATAGTATATATATATATATATATATATATATATATATATATATATATATATATATATATATATATATATATATATATATATATATATATATATATATATATATATATATATAGTATACACAGTACTGTACACACACACACACACAGAGGGATTGGCCCACCCGGGCACAAGTCACTGACTCACGTCAGGGCCTGGGGGGAAAATGTAATACCTGTAATAATAATAATATTAATAATAATATTAAGTAATAATAATTAATAATAATAATTCAGAAAAGTAACTTTTATAATAAAAAATACAAAAAATTAATATAATAAAAGAATAATGATAACAATAATAATAACCACACTGCAATAATAATAATAATAATACTGTAATAATAATAATAATAATAATAATAATAATAATAATAATAATAATAATAATAAAGAACCATAAAGAAATACAAAAATTAAAAAAAAGATTTAAGAGTGAGAAACAATAAATGTATGTTGTGTTGTTAATGGTAAGAGAAACAATTGAGACCCTTCAATTGTGTGTAAATGAGGCAGAAAGTCAGATCAGTAACCTGGGACTTGATCACAATTTTTTTGATGCCATATGACAGCAGGGTCTACCATTACACAATACATTATGCTTCCAATATCTTCCCAAGCGGTAGTTTGGTAGCTGCCTACTACCTACTACTTGCTGCTAACTATCTTAAGTAATTATTGTACAGTTGTATAAATTTTCAGGGAGAAAATTTTAAACTGTTAAAAAGGAGTTATATCTGTAAGAGGGTTTCCTTTACATTCTGTTAAGCTTGATAATTATCACAGATTTTTAGAACATGGTTTATGAAAATGGATATTTGTACACTATACGGTACTGTACTGTAATAATTATGGCACTGTATTTATAAACTGTTAAGCTACTTAGTGCATTATTTTAATTTTTGATTTGTAGTTTAGTAATGAAAGTAAAAAATTATAAAAACACATGAATCGAAGAGCAGATTTCTCATTAATTTTAACAGTGGCATTTAGAAAAATCATTATAGTGATGTTCCTTTTATTTTTAGTAATAAACCTGTAATACCACAGTGAACTGTTCCATGACTGCAGTTTGATATATGTACCCAGTATAATATTAAATAAAAGAAATTTCATAATTTTTACGGTATAAAACTTTTCTCTAATAAGTGATCCTCTATATCAGAGGTTCTTAAACTTTTTGCCTCTCACCCCCTCTGCATAAGTCCTAGATCCCCCACCCCCTGATGCAAACCTTGGTTATTATAGAGTTGGAAGGATGAGCAATTGTGTACAGACGTGTTCAGTTCCTGACCAGACTTTTCCCTTTGACCGCTCGTGCGCCCCCCCAGTTTAAGAACCACTGCTCTATATTGTGTCTTGCATGAGAGAAACAACCACATACTTATCTCTTCACTTCATACTTATTGGCAACTCCTACATGCTATTGGGTAAATAAACCTTTTTTTCTGGTTTATTGCTGAACTTTTTTTTTAGATTGATGAACATCTTTGTGTTAACCAGAATTTAAAAGTATTGTCTCTTAAGATTTTGGGAAATGTGAATTGTGGTTTAATTGATGTGAGCTTCTGTATTGTAGGTACGTGGGGGCTTCGTGAATGACACCATTATTGTGGGCAACGTCCATTCCCGTACCCCTCCCCAGGACCAGCACCTCCCCCCTCTCCTTGGATCGGCTGCTGATCCAGATTCCCCAGCTTCCCCATCCTCTTCATCCTTACCACCATCAACTCCATATGATCCTCCCACATCACCCTCCCCAAAGAAGGTCACTTCTAAATCAACATCAACTCCTATTAGATCATCAGGGGAGCAAGAGCAGGACCCATCCACCCAGCGCCTTGTTCCAGAACAGGTGTGTGTGTGTGTGTCTGTGTGTAATATTCAAATGAATATGTTTCAGTGGTGTTTTATTAGAAATTCACATATACGCCCAATACAACCCCATGTCCTTTGGTAAAAGTTTTAAAATTTTCAGGTTCCTGCTATTATTGTTGGAATGCTGAATAACCTGTCTCATATTATTTTCATTTTGTTACTGTCTTAGTATTATTATTTGATCTTCAGTTTATTGTGCATGTGAGTGTGGGGTGTTATTGTCCAAAAATGTAGGGTAGTGTACAGTAGAACATTTATTTTGTGGGTTAGTATTGTATTTGTATTATGTGTCTTGAATGTTTTACATAATTTCTAAAGTTATTAATGTACTAAAAGTGTTTTGTTGTGATCAATGTAACTCACTTGCCTTGTTGGCACTTGAGAACATTACATTAATGGACTTTTATTGCAGATGGCTGGGGAGTTTACCGCCATAGCTCCACCACACCGAGGCATTGACCAGTCACAACTACATCAGTCACGATTTGGCTTGGTGTTTCAAGCCTGTATGCTCATGATCACAGTCTGCTTCCTCTTCTCAGATGTTCTGGGAGGATTTTGGAAAAATAGGTATGAAACACTTCTTATATTTCTAAGCAGACTTTTACCATTTTTTGTTTTTGTTATAGAGCTTTTTCATAAGCCCTTCATAGTACAGTGGTACTGTAGCACCCTCTCTTGCCATCTGAGTTATTTGGTTCAAACCCTGCAGTGACATCGGTTCATAAATACTGGTTATTTTAACAAAATTCTGGGGCTAACAGCGAGTGAATCACCATGTACAGTATAATAAAAGACTGTCTCTCTTATTTGCTGTAACTAAAGCATTGGTCTTTTACTATACAGGGTGATTCACTCACTGCTAGCCCCAGAATTTTGTTAAAATAGCCATTATTTATGAACCGATTTCCATACTTTTGAGTGTTTGCCGAAACATGCCCTTTACATTATCAATAGTGCGAGTCATTTTTAAACTTCTATATCCCTTAATTAGGCAACCAGCAAGAGAATTACCCTGTAGTAAAAACCTTAATATCCAAAACATGGGTTCTATAGATTCGTTCCTGTAAATTTAATTTTGAAAAGGGAAATAAGAGAAGGTAAGTTTGAAAAAATTAAAGTTTGATACAGTATACTGTATACACTGTATGTCAAAACTACATTTAATTCAAGATAAAGTATTATGCACCAATAGTTTTGATGATAGTGTGGCTGTAGCTTCAAAATTGTAGGTCTTTAGTTGAACTGTCATTAAGTTAGGATAATTTTTTCCTAATTCCCAATCATTATCCATATACAGTACGAGATATAAGAGGCAGCACATGATTGTTTTTGAAGAAGTGATTGAGTATGTAGTACATCCCTTTCTTGGTCCTGTGCATCGTTTCACTTCCCAAGAAAAATATTCACGAAGATAATAAATTATATACAGTACAGTATTTTGAATTTGGGATCATTCCCTGTTTCTAAGTCTTGGCGGCATCAACAAATATTTCCACACACAGTACTGTACTTGTGTCCATTTGCTGCTCCTACCTCACCAATAAGTGTGATAAGACTAAATTTTAAATTCTTTGAAGTTTGTGCTCTGTTTAAAAGCCCAATATAGTGATATAGAGTGTGAGTTAGATGCAAGGGATACAGTAAAAGATAGAGATTAAGGATAATATGTACAGTCCTTCCAGAAAGTATCGTTAGCTATGGGGTTGATGTAATTTGAGGTTTTCTGAGCAATGTTAATTGACTTGTTTCTGAACAGTTGGTAGCACTACATCCATGACCTTTGAGCATGAATGAGGATATACGTTTTTGAATGGTACATACATTAATATAGCTTAATGGAATAATTGTTATATTGAAGTATCAAATTTGCCATACAAATACAGTATGGCTCCCTCCCCTCAATCATACCCGCATCTCTCGCTGTTGCCCATATGGCGAACCAACCTCCCAACTTATGATGATGCACTGGGGATCATATCCAAGCATTTCATCTAGCGTTTCAAATTGTACTAATGGAAAATCTAACCTTACTTTTGGGGGGGGGGGGACTGTACACCACAATGTTAAGTAGACCATCACATTGGCTGTGATATGAAGTTGTTGAAAAAAAAAAAAAATATTTATAATAAAGTTATCCCATATGATTATGCTTCACTTGGTAACTAAATCTAGCTTGTAAACTATTTTTTTTATAAGATATTTTTCACAAAAGAAGTGTTTTATTTAAGTTGAATGATGTACGTAATTTTTTGGGTGTTTAATGATTGAAATGTAAGAACCTTATATTCATTACCATTATGTAAGAGAGTTATAAGTACCTGTAATGGGGGTTAATCAAAGGTTAATGAGATAATTTTGGTGAAATATTTTGGAAACCCAAATACTGTATTAGTGACATTATTATTTTTAGCTATATGAGTGCTTTGTCTTTGACTGTTTCCATACTAAATGCTGTAATTTATATTCTTTCACAGGGTTCCACTCATGTCTAGAAATGCATACGACATCATCTTTCGTGTGGTGGAGCTCGGGGTGGCTCTTTGGTTCCCCTGTGTCTTGTGGAACTGTATGTCCCCAGAGCAGTTGTGGATCCTCAATCCCAAAAAAATTCTCAAAAAGCTGGATATTGACAGATCACTGGAGCTCGGGCAGCCTATACCCCAGACCAGTAAGGATTTATTATACAATACCATCTTTCATTTTTATTACAACTTTGAATTTTATGTTTAACTTTTAACACTGTAGTCATTTAAATATTAATCAGTTGAGAAATGGTCAAAAATAAAATTACAGTAGTCACACTCAGGAAGTTGTATAATTCAGTAAGTAAAAGTGTGAATATTATATTGTTAATTTATTTATCAGCTTCCTTCTTTTTAGCCTAGTTATTGAAAATCTTGTTGCCCAAGGTCCACATTCTTCTTTTTAAAGAGTATCAGTAAGACTGAAGTTTTATATGCACAGTCCAACACGAGTTGCTTGAATTTTCAACTTGGGTATTAAGTCATTCTGAAAATTGGTTTTTGTCTGGAATTCCAGCTTTGAAGTGCTTTCTTCGTACTGTAAATAGTTACCTTTAAATGATTACCCTTTATTGATATTCGTCACCTGCATTTACATGTAAGTTAAAAAAATGTAATAAAAATTATCTAATAAAGTAGGAAAGAAATTCTTTGTAGTCTTGTTCAGACTGAATATGCTATCTACATAAGTCTTTGAAGAAAAAAATTAACAAATACTGTAAAAGATACTTATTATGAAAAATATGAATTGTTATACAGTAATATCAAAGATAGTGAATACCTGTACTATGTTTACAATAGATATCTACTTCACATACTTCAGTATAGTATAAGCAATTTACCATATAGTAAGTGACCATGAAGACTAATATCTTGACAACACTGTAGGTGAAGCTGATGGGAGTGGAGAGTGTTGGATCTGTTACGACACAGAGCGTATTGATGCAGGACCTCTCATCCAACCGTGTGACTGCCGGGGTGATGTTGGTGCTGTGCATCATCATTGTCTCCGTAAATGGCTCATGGAGGTAAGAATGAACTGTTTATTTATAGCTGTGTGACCCAGTTCTAAATACTGTAGACTAATATTGACTGATTCATTGACTCACTAAGGTAAGCTTTAGCCTAGTCTTTGCTACTATACGTTATACATTAATCTACCTGTTAGCCAGAATCTTCAATCCCTGGAACTTTTCATTACCCAGAAATTTCTTTTGAGCATTCTGAGAAATTCCATGAAAAATCTCACCATTCCAGGCATTTAAACAAATTTCCAAGAGATTGCATCATGTGCAAAGCACGTGGGTGGAAAGGAACAGAGTGCTTGTGAGCAACTGTTGTATGAGATGCCTATGATTGGCTGATGTATCTCGCAGCCTATCTCCTCAAACTCTAGCATCATGACACTCTTACTTCATTGTCTACTGCCATTGTACAAGCTTGTTTGCTTGCTCACTGCTGTTTTCACATATGATCTGTGTTATACATTACTGTACTATACCAGGATACAATCAGCCAAGAATACCGTTAAAGCAGTATTAAGATGTAAAAAAGTGATACTGTACAGTTATGTATGCTGTACTGTGTACAGCCAACAAAAAAAAATTCTGCACCCTTGGTCTGATGGCTTTTGCAATGATCACTAATTGAGGCCATCTTCATTTGGAAAAGTTGGTACTCCCAATTGAGTGATGCATTGTATAACCAATATGATATATTCCATATATCGTGTACTGTATAGTTATTACACAAAAATTAACAGGAATACAGTACAGTACATATAAAACCCATGTTGTTCAGAATTCTTGGTCCGGTGCAGAATTTTTTTTTTTGTTGACTGTGCATTCAGTGAGTGTGTAAGTACAGTACTGAATGCACAGTACTGTACTGTACAGGGCAGAGTGGACAGTGTATGCCTACTGTAGGCTAGTGTGTAGAGGGTATATGTACTGCATACAGTGCATGTACAGTAGCTAAAACAACTATCTGTGCAGGTGGGGGTCGATATGCTCCGAAATTTTACGTGTAACTAGTGACAGCCCTCATATACCAAAATTTATTGTCCATGGTCTCGTATTGTTTCCCACAAAGTATGCACAGATAGTTAGCACCAGTTGCCACAGTAGGTGGTACAAAAAAAAAGGCAGGCCTGCATCACCAGCACAAGAAGACTGCATATGCTGGTGAGTACAGTATATGCAGTGGTACAGTAGGGTCGGGATATATCGCGACTTTATATAACGATTTTTTATATCGCTGCTCCCAAAATTATCGACATTTTCCTATACTGTATATAGCCATATATTTTGTTTTTTCGCAAGGGAAATCGGGCAGGAAATATTTCAAATGTACCGCCATGGCAAACAAATGTGTTATTTGCTCACCAGAGGTGCCACCATGGCTGCTCACCCACACATTCACACTCGCCCGCTCAGTCTTTCTGAGTGGGTGACGAGTAAGCAGCCTACTGCTGCAGATAACGACTTCTAAGGTGAGTGTAAATGGATTGCTAGCGACGTGAAAAGTGAAGTTAAGAGAATGGAAAGCTTAATGGAAAAGATTTTATACTGTAACTAATATTTTTGGTTTGTCTTTTATGATTGTGAGGTTTGCAGTGTGTTGTCTGTTGTTGTTGGGATGGCGCGTCAGCTACCGACTCTGCTCTAGATTCTAATTTCTAAACCGAGTGTAAATGGGTTGCTAGTGACATGAAAAGTGAAGTGAAGAAAATGGAAAAGATTTAATACTATAAGTAATATTTTTGGTCTTCGTTTATGTAGTTGTGGGATTGTCAAGTGAGGGTGGCAGTGTGGCGTCTACCACCAGGTCTGGTGTTCCCAGAATGGTGCAACAGCTGCCGAGTCTGGTGTTCCTTGATATTGACATTGAAATAGCCTGTTGTTCCCAAGTCTAGTGTTCATTGGTGCTTTAGTTAGGAAGAAAATAAACTCATTAAGTTTAATCACTTTTTGGAGCCTCCAGAACCTAACCCTATTTTCCCCATTGATTACATGTAATTATATATCGCTATTACTCTGTACTGTATAGCGAACATCGTTGGACCGTATCTCGCGATATATCCCGATCCTTCTGTATAGTATTTTGTTTACATGTACTGTATACTGTATGTGTATAGTAGTGTTTGCATAAACCAGTGCCACTCTGTGTCTGTTCATCTGCAGTTAAGCCTCCGTAACAATGGTGCTCTCTCTACCAGGTGCATAGTTTAGATGCGGAAACATTTACAAGGGCCCGGAATAGTTCCGTAAATGTGCATTTTTTTCTGGGGATAAGAACAATTGTCTCAAACCCGGAAACACTTTGCACCTATTGTTCCAGTTAATGGGAATAATACTATAGTTCATATTGTTGTCTTAAAATTTTTTTTAGGAAAGATTAAGGGATAAGGGAAAGAAATGTTGGGGGAGAATCTGTAAATATGAATAGCAATACAAAACCATATCCAGGAAGAGGACCTGGGCATGATAGATAATAAAAAAATTTTGTTTGAGGAACATTTGCACAATGAAGCAAACAACATAAATCATTTGATAGACATGATCCAACCAACCTTCCTGTCTTGCTGGGCAAAAAATCTCAGGTGGTAGCCATTGAAACCTGTAGATACTCCAAACTGGATACAGTAATCCCGTGTATTTCTCTGGAATTACGTTCCTGAATTCCCCGCGAAAAGCCAAAACCGCGAATACTCTTTTAGGAATCACTGTACCTGTGGCCACCAAACAGCTCGGGTAGGACATGCATTTAACCACGCCATGCTCTCCACTCACGGCCCAGTGGTCACACTAATCACTGATGCAATGTACCGGCATTTACTAACATTATTTGAAACTAATCATATTGTAGTATAATAATGGAAAAACGAAAACACAGTTATATACAAAAAACATTTATTTACATGTTAATAAAAATTTTTATATTTCGCTGAGGTCGGCAACACCCGCATTGCCAGCCTCTCCCTGCTGTCCCGGCGTCTGCCCGCCCTCACGCAGTCACACCAGCCAGCCAGTCCTTTTCCACCCACATTCCTCCACTTGAAGACTTGTATTCTGAGAAAAGAGACAAATGAAGTGTCAGTCTTCACCACATCTCGAGCCATAGTTCATACCACCTCTGAGCTTGTCCAATAAAAATATTTTTTCCATTAAGGTCATCACTATTCTTGATCTCTTGGTCACTTTAGAGTCTGCTAGTAATATTTGCCTTTGACGAGGCTGGCTTACATCCTGGAGCCATGTGGAATGCACGTGGGAGGACGAACAGAAGAGATAATTACAGTAGCGAATGGTCAAAACTGCAAAAAAAAAAAATACGCGAAAAACACGGGATTACTGTGCCATGGTTGGTAAACTGGTGCACATAATACTGTATAAAGCATGAATACTTAAAACTAGTTGGTAAACCAGTTGTTGGGGAGAGATGGATTGCTGTAAACCTCAAGCTTTTTTAGTAGAATTTGTATTTCATATGTGCTGCTAGTCACATGAACAGTAGGAGGCAGATACAAAATCCTCCCTAATGGCAGTTGTCAGTTTTTTTTTTTTTTTTACAGTATACTGTACTGTTTATCTTCAAGTGTTCTTATATTTGGCTATTGTAAGGAGCGGACTTTTTCTTACTTCATACTTATTCTTCTTTTCTATTCTTCAATACTTATAATCTTATTTCAAATATTTCTTATATTTATTCTCTTCTGTTATTATTCTTCAATATATTTATATTCTTTATATTCTTCTTTCCCTTATACTTATTTATTTATTTTCTTGCTCATATCTATCATTTAGATCAATCTTTTCAGGTGTACATAGTTTAATAATTTCATATTCTATGTCTTTCTCTCTAGAATATCTTGTTCTAGTTATATTCTAAACCATGGATTAGTCTGGGAAACCATGTCATGATTATTATAATAATTATTATACTTACCACAGTAGCCTGCCACCACCCAGACTTTTATTAGAATATAACATATCTTGGTGAACTGTTAGGTAGCGTGTTAGCGAGCTTCTAGGCATGTGAGTTACGAAGTTATTTTCTGAGAACCATTGTGTAAAAGGAAAAGACTGGTGATACTTGTAGTTTACTTATCCAATATTTATTAACATAAGGAGTCAACAAGGTGTTACTTAAGTACATTCAGACCAGACTGGACCACTTAGGTCTTACTTTGCACATAGCAGAATAGATATTAATTTCTTGATTGCAACATTACATACTCATTATATTACTCATTATATTACCTCATTGTCAATACAGATGATTACATAACACACTCGACAAAATCCAAAATTAAGATAGTATCAAACACATACTGTTAGTTCAGAATGAACAACGTGGCACTTTAACTAGCATTCAGTGGTAGTACACCTGGTTGGTGGACTCAACTCCTATAATCAACAGTACCACTGGTAACACCAACATTCATGGGTTCAATACTTAATGTGGGATAACTATATTTCTGCTAGTTAATCCCCAATCATAGATACCAATACTGCTCAATACATATAGCCAAGATCAATGGACCGGACAACAGTCACAAGACTGAGTCCACTGTTCGCGGGAGTTGTTTACACCGACAGCCGAAGCTCGCTCGCAAGGAGCGCACGACATTCCCTGGGTAATCTTGTCCTCGGATTCTTATCTCGCCATATTAAAGACATCCTTCAAGGACCATCTAGCCCATAGGCGGCTACCGAACCTCAGTAGTGGTGCCAACACAGATAGTGCCTGGAGATGCGTTGAGGAAGTCACGAACGTGTTAAAGTGGTCCAACTTCAACTATACATACGTCTGGCAACGATACAGACGACACTTACTTTACTCGAATTACTTGGCACATGATTATTTCACTATGTTAAAACATGAACACTGATTTTCACAAAATTGACTAAGTTAAACTGACTTAACATGGCGGCGGGAAAAGTCGTTCACATACCTAGAGATGCGTTGAGGAAGTCACGAACGTGTGATTTTTCCTTGTGCATCCTTATATACGTGAGCCTGGGGCAGTTCCGGCCCATGCATACATACCAGAAAGGCTAATTTCACCAACAACAGAAATTCTATTCACCTCGGTCGCTGTACACTCAACTATGAACATCAGTGTCATGGGTCAGGCTAATTTTCCACGTCTATCCCTATAATTAATCTAATCAGAGATTGAGTCTGTCAGGAAAAAGTGAAATGGACGTTAAACACGCACTAACAACTCTACTTACAGGAAACCACAAACCACAGCCAAGGAATTCTTCCTGAGAAGAGCCGTTAGGTCTTGGAGATTTTGAGTTTGACAGAATCTTTTCAGGAGATCAGTGACTTTCTAAAATAGACAACTGACACTAACTAAACTACAAACATCCGATTCTCTGATGTTTGGGCATCAAAATAATCTAACTTCAGTAGCACTTGGAACTCATGGCTATCCCCAAGGACGATATAAGGATATGCCACTCATACTGACAAACTTGACACTCACTTACTTAACAAGTTTTACTAACAATAAGGACAGTTGAATCTTTCAACATCACTCACAATGGCTCTGGATGTTCCAACTATAATCAAACATATCTAAGTTGCCTCAACATATGCAATCTCAGTTGCAATTTCAAATTCTGTGTCATTACTAAGGAATAACGAAGTCTCAGGTGCACTCTGTGATTGAGGGAAAACGGAGGACTCGGGCGTCCTGAAGCGATGAAAAAACGGACTCCTCAGACTGGGGATTCAAATAAAGAAATCATAGCTACATGTTTTGTGGGCTGTTGAGCGTAATATGAATCGTCTGATTGTACGTTAACTGACGTGTACGACCTTGGTCATTACACTATCATATTAAGTAAATAAAAGCAGAAATAAAGAAGAATATATGTAAAGAAATATGTAAGGGTTTGCAAGTTATGGTAATACATTTATGTGCCAAGTGTGTCATCATCTTGTAGAAGACTATCTATCCTGAGGTTTTGAGCAAAATTCAACTTTACTGACCAAAAAACATTTTATTCTTTGGAATGGAAATTAACATGTTAATTACTTTAGTCTATCCAGAATAACACAAAAATCCATAAACAAATTAAAGGTGTTGAATAATTAATGTTTTCATAATTAAGTTTTTCTGAGAATTATTAGTACTAGTACACTACTGTAATTCTAATTGATTACAGCTACTCCTCGACTTACGACATACTCGACCTACAACCACCCAGACATACGACCGCCTCAGTCGTACAAAAAATAAAATAAAATTACGTGTTTTTGAGTCCCAACGTTAGTGATTGCGCTGTGTACTGACAAAATTTTCGTTTGTACAGTATAGTCTCGGTTTACACAGTCAATTAAACCCGTGGAGGTCCGCGTAAAACGAGAAACGCGTAAACGAAGTAACAGAACATATGGGATTAATTGAAATTGAGACTGGGCTGACCCCCAGACTACCCTTTTTCCGACACAATACGTACGTTGTAGTAAAAATAACATCTTAATTTTATGATGGTATGCACACACAATTATTATTTAAGAGAAATGTCAATAATAATAGGTTTTTTAACACTTTCATTAGTTGAAGAGATGGCTGGGCACACGGGGATGGGGGTTGGTTCCGAAGCAGAGGGCAGATTATTGGCCCTCACCTATATCACCTGTATCACTATCCACCACAGAGGCTTGCAGGGCCTCTGTCAAACCCCTCAAAGTCCATATCCTCACTATCACTGACTTGGGCTGGCTGTGGCGGGTGAAGAACTCGGTAATGTTTTGTTGACTGGGTGACCTGGCGTGCACCCTTCCCGCGCCACTTCCCGCGTAAATGATGGAATGTACAGCGTAACTAATAATTGCTGGTCTGGCCAGGTGCTGCGTAAATGACCAACCGCGTAAAGGAAATCCGTGTAAATCGAGACTATACAGTCAACCCTCACTTTACGCGGTCCCACATTCCGCGTTTCCACGTTTACGCGGTGCCCTGCCAGAACCCAGGATGCTCACATTCCGTGGTGGGTGTACCCCTTTACACGGGTGAAGTATAATTTTTTTAATTTAGCTCATAAAATTCATACAAATTATCCGGCCAGAATATAATTTACATTGCTGGAATTCTTACAATTTGATGATCATTTTGAATATAAACATCATAGATTTTGCATTAGACATACAAATTTTAGATGTAATGTTTAATCTGAGTAAATGTGTTATCTTTTGTGAAAAATATATGACATTTATATTCAAAATATTCCTGGTCTTACAAGGAATCCAGCAATGTCAATTATATTATCCTAACTTTAGTTTGAGGTATTATTTATTACTATACCTGGTTTCCCCCCCAAAATTTCTCAGAGGGAAGAGCCAGCAGTGTAGTGTGAGAAGAGGGGGAGGGAGTCGTGTCCATTATTTGAATGGACATTAACTTGGCGACTGTATTTCTCTATTTCTCTTAAGTATTAATTGTGTGCATGTACCATCATAAAATTAAGATGTTATTTTTACTACAACATAGTTATGTGTTGTCAAAAAGTGGAGTTTGGGGATCGGCCTGGACTCCATTTCAATTAATCCCATATGTTATGTTATTCACTTTACGCGTTTCTCGCTTTCCGCGGTACCCTCCAGGTTACATTAACCGCGTAAAGTGAGGGTTAACTGTACTGTAATTCCCTTTAAAATGGCTGGTAAGCGTTAAAGTGAGAGTTCTAGAGAGTTCTCGTGGTGCTGAGAAGAAAAAGAGACACCCAGAAATTTATGTGGTCCCTCAGTTAACGAACGGTTCGGTTAACGAATTACCTTTCATAAGAATCTTCAATTCAGTTAACGAAAAAAATTTGATTAACGAAATCCTTACGAACATCACGTTTTGTTGTGAGCATCAGCTGATCAGCTGATGGGCTAGTCTGCCAATTCAGTAATCTGTTCTATGTTTACATTCGTTTCCAGTGGAGTAAATATCAATAAAGTTGTGCTCTTTAATATTTTTGCATTTTTTATATTAAAATTGTTAGTCATTTTAACATTTAATATATTGATAATATATGCAGTACAGGGAACTAGTTGTTTGTGCGCCCATCAGCAGCTTGACTCAGCCACAAGGCGTCAGTTGGGCTTTGAAAACAGCGGGGTGAACATCTATTTTGTTGGTGTCTTGGATATTTTTTAATTTTTCATTGAAATTATTGTTCATTCTGAAATTTAGTTAACATATTGATAATATATAGCGCAGTGCAGTGTTGATTTAAAGAAAATAATCTTGAATTACACCCCGTGAACTTAAAATTTTATTGGTGAAATGACGGCATCAAGCATGGGTCCCCTGAAAGGTGATTTCTCCTCCATCCCCACTTCCTTCTCTTCTCCATTCTCCTCCACCCCCACTTCTAATTCCCATCATCATCATCAACAGGAATCTTTTACATACACACCTCAAAGTAAGTGTACTTTCCTGCATTTTTTTTTTTATTATTATACTTTTTGTGTACTTTTCGGTGAACTGGAACCAATTACCCAACATCCCATTGAAACAATGGATTCGGTTAATGAACAACCTCCTGGAACGAATTGTGTTCGTTAACCGAGGGACCACTGTATAGCCACTCTTGTTGTGTGTCATGGGAGCTATTTTATGTGAATTACGTACTGTATTGGCAAAGTGGTTAATGCGTTTTAGTAGGCTGTGTCAGCATTTTTTTTTTAATTTGCATATGTATGATTTATTTATTTTTATTTATTTTTTTTTTTTCAGTGTGCTGAAAACTCCTCAGAAAATTTGTCATGTAAGGTATGTGGGGCAGTGTACCAGTTGGAGAAGGGCCAGGCATGGTGGATTGGCCAAGGTTTCACGGCACGGCACTGGCTGCAGACTGCCTCCTTGGTGACAGTCATGTGTGGCACCATAGCTGGTACTTGGGCGGTTGTACAGATGTACGAAGATGCTTATATTCGATCACTGGCTGCTGGGGCAACACTTTTGATCATCTATGTTTGTTTAAGGTTAGAAAACCCAGTCCTTGTACAAAGGAAATATGTGTTTTCACTATTTCTCACTTATCATTACACAAATTTTTCTTGGCCTTAAAACAATTATTTTACTGTCACAATTACTTATAAATGTAGGTAAGCCTGGAAAGCATGTGTTTGTGCCCACATTGGTCATAACATGACAAGCCATCCAACTAAAAACAAATGAAAATGGGAAAAGGATGGCATTACATACAGTACTTCATAATACCACAGTGTATCATAGTGAACTACATAAATTGTAAAAAAAACTTATCATTTGAAGAGGCAGCTGCTCAATGGTCTTTGCAAGTATTTTTGTTCAACATTTTGATAACAAATGTCTTAATGATTATTATGATACAGTACCTCCAAACACCAGTTGACACTCATAAACTTTCCATAAAAGTTATTAATGACTGTGATTTATTTCGTTCACATTCCTTTGAGGCTTTTAGTAACTGACTGGGTCCTGAACATTATCTAGTTATCTTATCCTAATACCTTTTGACAAACTGGATAATCTTTAATATGATTGATGCTTATGTAGAAGAAATTTAATTTGGTGTTGATAAAAGTAGTTACCAGTTTCTTCCATTCTGACCAATCAGGAAAAATGTCTTATCCACAATAAACCACTGGCACTATAACTCACCAGATTAATGAGATAAATCATACCCACTCACTGGCCAATGACCCAAGTTGCTTCATCCAAATTTCAACAGCTCAAAACACTGCTTGCATCATCCAAAATTGAGTTTGGACTTTTTTGGTTTAATAAGGCTATAGAATGAACAAGATAACTGTATATGAAGATTTTATGGCCTTGCATGGTTCAAGGGTTTGTAGATGTGTCCGAGACGAGCCAACCTGTGTCATTGGTCCATGATAAGGTTAATTTATCAGGACCTGAGGAATACACTACAGGTACTGTATTTCATAACTTAAAGAAGTATTGGAACATGCTGCATAAAGATCTTGTGCATTTCATAGTTAATTTTCTCTCCATTCATCAAAACTCACATTACTTGAATGTTAGTTTAAAAAACAAAAAAATTTCCAAGCTTACATATAAATCTCCTTTAATTCTTAGCATTTTTACTTTCATAAAACTACAATTTGACATCATACATAACCTGAATTGCAATAACATGATAAACACTTCAGAATTTAGAGTATTTATCACAATGAGCAGAAGCACTCTGATAGAAGGGTACAACTTAGACTTTTCACCTTGAGGGGCTGGTTTGTAATTCTACACTTAAATATAGTTGTTAACATGGTGTTTTGTTGTGCTTACAGTTGGATAGTGTGACTGTACTGATACAGTATTAATTTTCATACCCCTGAGGAATAAAGAATAATTCTGTATTGTATTCATTATTCTCTTACAACTATATCTTTCACAGCACTTTTGTGAATTACCCCAGTATGTAATTATAGCGCTATTTTCAGTGGGTTCATGCTTGCTTGTAAGATATCTAATGCAGATCTAATTGTACAGGTTCTTGGGTTTTAATACCTTCAGTGCATACCAACGGGCAAGATATTCAGCTGTTAAAATCCTGGGGCGTCATTTTGCCCAACGTGACCATGGCAACACTTCAGGGGAATCAGCAATTCCAGGAGCAACAGCTAATGTTGCCACCATCAGTTCTGAAGTATCTGTTGATATGAATGCTACTGGTGTTCCCAAGATGCCACAGGCTGCCATCTAAACTTGTTCCCTGGCGAGTGGTGGTGACAGAAAGATTCCATTACGGTAAATAGTGAATAGTTTGTTGATAGTGTGAGTGAGAAACTGTGCTTTAGACACTTTGAAGGAATTATGAACTGCCTTCGATAAATAAGTGAATGCTGGCATTCTCTAATGATCCAAAGAGTAATATCAATTATATAGTGAATAGTCATCTCATAAAATAGAATATAGACAATGGTGAAGCTACTCCAGTGAAGAGAGAATTATACATAATAGTGATAGAAGTCCTTAATTTTAAGGCTTGTTTATTGTCACCTCACTAGGGAGGTTGACACTGGTGTGAAACAAGGGATGCCGATGTGATTTATGGTAGACACAATAGGACTGTACCAACTGAAACTTTGACTCGGTAATGAGAGTTGAGATGAAGTATTTGTAATCATTTCAGTGAATAATCCTCATCACCTGGACTTCGATTTAATTACTGTGAGTGCTGTGCATGAGAATTTTTGTATTATGAATTGAAAATTTTAGGGATTATTTCTTCTGTAAGGGTTATTTAGTTTTAATTATGATTTGGGGATTAGGGTGTCTTAAATAAAATAAACGATGAATGGAACCTGCATCATTTAATATATATAATATACGTACATGTAGTAGGAAACTTTGGGTGAAGTTTCATGATACCTGTACTTGGATATTTTTCCAGTTGTCTCTCTGACATAAAGTCCTTAATTTGTATTCACAAATAAGCTGTGTTGGAGAAGACACGGGACAAATGTGTGTACTTGTATGTGCACACACACACTTGAATTAGTTAGCCGCAAGAAGAACTATAGGTTGAAGCTCCCATATCCAGCCACTCCCACAAAAGTCATTGTTTTTAGAAACTCCTTTACCTGGCAAACCACCTAAAGAATGGTGCGGTCAGATGATAACACGAACGAAAATTCTACTACCCTGTGATCCTCACATCGAGTGGCAGTATATATCGTAGTTTCACCGGTTTGCTGCTAATGTTTTAGTGGCCTGCCAATCAGTTCATTTGTTTGAATTGACAGCTGAGGGTGGTGGTGGTATGCTTATTTAAGTGTCATCATTTTATTCTACCCTTATTGGTAATTACAATACATGTATACTGTACCATTTTTCTCCATCTAAAACACTTATAGGAAATTATATACTACAATGTGTTTATGTACAGATATACAGAGTATCGGTAACCTGTTACATGTACTGTACAGGTACATAAGAAATATGATATAATAAATAATGGTAATTTCCTTTATCTGGTTTGGAGTTGGTCCCAAAGTTGCCAGCAATGGGATCTTCAACCTCTATAAAATGCATTCTTATATCATAGAACCCAAATTAGATAGTTTGGATTCTTTGCACTTCTATGAAATTATGATTTATAAGTTACTGTATTCAGAAGTACTTTACATTTCAGATCCAGATTTTACATCCGAGTAAGAACTGGAATCTCATCTTTTTCATTTGAGCTTTTACTCAGCTTTTTTATTCATTGGTAGAATGACATATAAAGAAGATACAGGTCTCATGCAATCTTCACTATATTTAGATCACCCTACACCTGTATGTATTTATGGAGATTACCTTAACACTAAAGCTCAAATAGTTGCTGATGAATCTGCAAATTGATATAGCTATGATGTAAGTTCTCCAACTGTCTATTTATCTTTAGCAAGTGAGCCTCAATTTTTTGTATTTTTAGTTAGGCTGTGTGAACTGCCCAGTACCAGCTTTCGAACAGGAAAAGGCATTTGTATACTGCATATACAGTATACTCTATGCACGCCCACACGTACACATTGCAAATTTGTATTTTGCTCTTTTCATTTATCACAGTTTAATTTTAATGACCAACATATATGATAATCACAATGTTATTCATTTTTTGCAGTGCTAGTGTAAGGAAAAATTCAAACCACACATGTGAATTACTTCCAGCTGAGCAAAAATCTTTTATGCATTCTTATATTTTTTACATGCTTATTGTATTAATATAATTAGTGCGGTAAAAAAACAGTTTAGATGGTGGTGGTGACGACTAGTTGTTGCAGGATGGTGGTGGGCAGTCGGTTGACAAGAGACACACAACTCTCAATTGCAGATTATACTGTATTCTATTATATATATATATATATATATATATATATATATATATATATATATATATATATATATATATATATATATATATATATATATATATATATATATATATATATATATATATATATATATATATATTTTATTATTGGTTTATAAGTGCTTCATTATGATAAATCATCTCAAGTACAGTACAGTACTCCCCAAATTCCCAGACAGGACTGCGTCAACCCTTCATACTGTACAGTACATTGTTTTTATGGGAAAATTAGTTTTGCAATTACAATTTTGCAAATCACAAGGGTTTTCAGAAATGGAACCCTTGTGGTGTGTGTGTGTATATATATATATATATATATATATATATATATATATATATATATATATATATATATATATATATATATATATATATATATATATATATATATATATATATATATATAAAGGAAAGAGCTCTCAAGATCAAAATGGAAATGTCAAGAAGTGGGAGAGTTTGAAAAATTTAATATAGAGAATTAATGAGTGAAGGGAATATTCAAGGTTAAGTCTAAGCATAGTGTAAAACTACATCACAAACATCTGCTTAGAGCTTGAATGTGAGAAGCAAAATATGTTAAGAGCCTCCTGACTCTCAAATTGTTTTTTAACTAAATTCTTTTGTTATAAGCAGAACAACAACAAAAGCAGTTAGCAAGTGAGTGAACAGTGCCAGTACAGGTACTTATGTCTCCTACCCTTATGGAGACATGTAACATTTAGCTGTCCCTTGTCCGTCCGTCACAGTTTTTGTCAGCAGTACATCTCGAGATATGTTTATCACAAACAGATTCAGTTTTATGAGTCAGTGTACTGATATCAGCTTAAACCTTATTCTATTTTAAGTGCTGTTCATCAAAAGTCTAGGAAGGTCAAAGGTTAATTCCTTGTCGATAAGATGTCTCTGAAACCATTCAACCATCATAATAAAGTTTTATTGGCTGGTGTATATTTTTTAAATGTGATGAAGACCAATTTAAAGGTCAATCGTCCATCACATTTATCCCAGCAAGATTGCATAAGAAATATTGATTCCAGCCAGAACAAATTTGGTATGTAGATGCTCTAATATCAACTTAATTAAGGTACCTATTGAAAAAAGTCCCAAAAGACTACGATAAATCACAATACAGAAAATATTGAAAGTTAAGGTTAAATCATGTGTTAATTTAATTTTTTGGGTAGTTGTTGGGGATGCTGTCAGATGTAGCTGATAGTTATTCCTGATCCTCCACCTCGTAGTCAAATGGTAAGATATTTGTCTGTACATACAGTAATTGCATTCTTAAAGATTTATTTACGATAAGTCCTTTGGTGTTTGAAAATAAAAGAAATTATATATTTATAAAGTGCTGTATACAAACATTTGATCCAGAAGTTTACTAATTTTTATAGTAGAATTAGATAAATATGTAAAATAAAATTATTTTGAAATTCATAATATGGGAGCTTTTTTTTTTTTTTTTTTACTTAATTGTCGAGTCTGATAACAAAGAAATTGTAACGAGTATAGTGGCTCACTTGTTACAGATTAAAAGAGGTAAAAGGATGATTTTAACTCATTAAAGATTCATTCCTTAATGTGTACAGTGTTTTTAACATTCTTTCACCTTCTTACTGTTAATCTGTGACAAAACAAATTATACCTTTAAGTGTTATCTGTTATAAATGGTTAGTTTTATTTGAGTTTGTATTTATCATTCAGTATCTGCAGGTGAATATAAACATAGCTAATGTCCATTGAATATTAACAACATAATGTCTATAACTGTTCATAAATCTAGGTATGTATATGAAAAGGAAATAAGGATGACATATCCACCTATGACTGCCATCATCAGTCAGGTTGTGAAAATTGCTTTAATTTAATGTTTTATATCCCTGAGAACTAGTTGTTTTACGTATATGACCACTGAGCATAAATTACTGTGCTGGTAAAGGGAGAAGTATATACTGTATAAGGGAACCATTTGTAAGGTTTGTTGATGGTTGATGTACATGAAGTGACCAGGGGTAGTTCTGTGATAGTGACAGGGGGTAGTTAACCTAGATGGAATAGTACCAAATGAATAATGTCTTTTAAGCTATTATATTTTGTAGGAAATTTGTGAGATTTCTTGAGATGTCTCTTTACATTACTTATAATGATCTGCTGGTGTGCAGGGTGTTCCAAGTTGACATCCTCCATGTTAATTTGCTTTGGCACATCCATAAAAGAAATCTGAGACACTGTTAAGGACTTCCTTTGTTGACTAGCTGTGTATTTTATAGCAAGTAGCTTAGGGCAGTATACATACAGACCTATCTGTTATTAATACCTTTTAAGAATTCATTCCTGGCTCTTGGGATTATTTCTTAGTTTTTTCAGGGAACTAAACTTAAATAGTCTTTCTGAACAGGCTAAGATTCTCATCCCTTGCCATTACACTGTATATAATATACATAAATTGTTAAATATTTTCTTTTCTTTGGTCTTATACATTTGATGTAACAAATGTACAGTATTTAGCAATCGAGAATCACATCATACGTGATTTAATCAGTGTCATTAGGGAGATGAACTTTTCTTTATTATAATCTTTTTACAGTAACACTAATTACAGAATGTAATTATGGTTGCAATGTGAATGAATGGATGATCTTAATATGTTAATCCATTGGATTTTCTCAAGTTAATGTTGATGGTTAATATATGAATAGAGATAGATAAGTAATAAGATGATTAAACTATCCAGCATTTGAACATACAAGAATAAGCTGAGATTCATCACAACTACAGTACTGTAATGTGTTTGGTTGATGGCAACTTTTTCTCTTATCTCTGAGTATCTTACAATATTGACAGTTATGCCATACAAATATTATTTAAAGCCATTAGGTTATATTTTCTAGTTACAGTGTATGTAAGTTTGATGAGATTAATGAATACATAAAACATGTTGCTATATTGTATGTAATGATAACCTAGTACTGTATAGTATATTTTATACGCATTCCTTTGCTTTCACCCTTTGTCTCATCTCGTGTGATATTCAAAAAATGCAATTAAGAAATGTCAAGTGTAAAGGGAGATTACTATTTATTAAACACTGCAAAAACACTAAAGAACCACACTGTTGGGACAATTTGAGGGGATTATATCGAACGATTTACATTTTTACAGTACAGTACTGTATTTGCATAAGGAACAAATTATTCTGTCAGACCAGTCGAGCAGTTTACGAGTTTCAGTTTCATCAGTGATCCCTTTACCTTAGTGGAAAATTATAATATGCTTTTGCCAACGTTGGGAGCATTACATGTTTGCCTTTTCTGTTTGTCCATCCATCTGTTCTTGTGTCTGTCTAGCCGAAGTTTTTCTCCTTAGACGGAGCATATGTTTGACAAATATTTTCAAGTTACACAGGTTGGACCTCGCTTATCTGGGAAGCTTGAGACCAAACCAGTTATGTGACACTAAAATAAGTAGATTAGCAAAAAGGCAAAGAGAAAATTGTACATTATAAGCCTACTGATAGCTGGAAACTAACGACAGCCAGATTCAAACACCGTCCCGAACCATTGAAGCTGCCAGACTATCGGGTCCCAGATTAGCTGGGTCCAATCTGTATCATAGAGTTGGGATAGTAAATTTGACCACTTGGAGACCATCTCTAAACTTACACCTGTATGTTCTTCAATTGTACTGATACTTTGTAGCAGTTGCAGTTTTAGAAAACAATAATTCTTTCAACTTCAGTTAATTTTTCATAACAAAGGTGTTTTGTATTTTATTTAATGGAGGAAATTTTTTCAAGATTGATAACAGTATTACAATTTTCCATTACTACATTTTTGTGTGTTTAAATGTTCATGTATGTATGTGTGTGTGGATGAATGTAAAGGTGTGCATATTGTCATTGCAATATTACATTGTAAATAGTGTTATAATTTTTTTTTTGTACAGTACATGTATTAAAGAAAAAGGATGATTTCAATCATACATGGTACTTATATTACAAACATGTAAGAAGTTGGGCTTTATTTTAATAATCTTCAAAACACTCCTGATGTACCTACAGCTGAGTTGGACATGCTTCATCATTGTAGTTTTGCTGCACATCTTTCTGGGAGAAAGGTAGCCATACTAATCAGTATATTAGAATTTTTCTCTTAGAAGGGCAATAGCTCATGATGCAATGAGACAAATAATTTTTAAACAATAATAAAAGAATAACTGCCAGACAAGTTTGTTTGTATTGATTATACTTTTATAGCCATGTAGGCTATGCTGTAGATAGTTCAGGTATATCTTTTTTTGTAACATTTTGCGCATATATATATATATATATATATATATATATATATATATATATATATATATATATATATATATATATATATATATATATATATATATATATATATATAATATATATATATATATATATATATATATATATATATATATATATATATATATATATATTAATATATATATATATATATATATTATATATATTAATATTACAGCATATATATATATATATATATATATATATATATATATATATATATATATATATATATATATATATATATATATATATATATATATATATATATATATATATATACTATATCATATATATATATATATATATATATATATATATATATATATATATATATATATATATATATATATATATATATATATATATATATATATATATATATATATATATATATATATATATATATATATATATATATATATATATATATATATATATGCAACCTCTGCATTTATGCAAAACTCTATTTTCTGTAGTTAAAATAATCTCCAGTGTTCGTCAGAGAGAATGGACACTATCCCAAGATGCCAGATCATCAGTAGTATCAGGAAAATTAGGTGTACTATGTGAAGAGGTGTACAGTACTGTATTTCCCAGCACATCAGACACTGCCTAAAATGCCACAACTTCATTAATGCATTCAAATCTTACTCTGCCTTGTATTATAAATTACCTTAGATTAATAATCCCCCTATGGTTTTTCTTCCCTAAGGAACAAATATTATTGAAATTAATATTGTGTCCATTTTACTCAGGGTTTATGTGGTTTAGTTGTAAAAACTTGCAAACTATAAGACAATGGCAACATGTAAGCTTTGTTTATATCTATCGATAGCATCGATTTTGTACTTGCTCAAACATTTGCAATGACTGACTACAGCATTAAAATGCCAAGCTTAAAAATACTGTATAAACAGTACATTTATATGTACTGTATACAGTTCATTTAAAGAAAAAATCTTTTTTTCTAGATTACCAATAAATGTTCATAATTACCAATACTGTACTTTATAAAACAAAACAGTGTTTCATAATCTGGGTGCATAGCTGAGCCACAGTTTATTTCTGTACTGTATATTATTTCTTAAGTTACAAAGCAAGTTAAATGAAGCCTGGGACTTGGTCACAATTTTTGTGGGGACATATATTCTTTGACTTTTCCATTTTTTATTCACGGTTTCTGTGCTGGTTCATATTTATTTACTAAAGTGGTTAATGTTTTAAAGCAAATTCTATTGAAATATGAATGACAAATGAATAGAGGGAATTAAATGAGGTAGGTTAGGGAAAGGTACTTTGAAAAGGTATGTTTTATTTCCGTAGACTTTATGTACGATTAACCGACCTTTCTGATTATCCGTCGGTCCCTTCCCCCGTAGGTGGTCGGTTAATCGAGGTTTTACTGTAATTGGAAGTTAGGTGAGTGACATCCTTGCAGCAATGCTTCATACAGGAGCAAGAGTGTGTGTGACACGCTCTGCTGCTGGGTGAGTCAGACTACATACAGCTTCTTGGCTTGTCATCTATAGAAAAAATTAAAGTAAGCATGAAATGGAATAGTATTGTTAATGTTTATAAAATATCAGCGGACTTAAGCAATGCATCCTGATGTTCGTGTAAAAATAAAAATTGCTTTACGGTATTCTTGGGGTAAGAAATATTTTTACTCTAGATGTTTTTTGTTAAGACAGCTGGTTAACCTGGGTAACTGTCCCTAAACATTATGATCTTAGTTTTAGGTAGGGTCCTCATCCTCCTCGGGTTACCCTCCGGTATGTAAGATGCAGAGACTTATGGAAATTTTTGGGGGTATATTTGGCAAGTACTGGACTTAGGGCCCACATATGGCATTGATTGTCACTGTTCTCTGCCCAGCCAACATCAAGGCTACCTGCACTTGGCCAATATACAGTACACCCTTTAAATACATAAAATTTTCTAGGTACTGATGATAATCTTGTATCTTAAGATAATATTGTTCATTCTCTTCTACAGACTGGATATAATTGTAATCACATAAAACAGATTTTTATATACCAGTACATGTTGTGGTCATCACTAATATCAGCAACACATATAAACAGCACATTCTGTGTACAGTACAGTACTGTACTAGTGATATTTGGGTAAGGGATTCATAAACTTTATTTAATCTTTGAACATGCATTGCCAGTATATTCTTCCACAATATGTACCAAATACTGTATAATAAAATTATGAATGATTCAATAAAATGACATCTCGGCATACTGTTTCACTGTCTATTTAGTTCTTGAAGATAGATGAAGTTGGATCCTTATTGGTTGTCAAACTAGAGCAAGTTGGAAAAAGAGATCCTCACTAAGACTGAAGAAAAGTGGCTGATAGAATAGAGGGAGTAGCTAAGAGAGCTATGCTATGGTTGTGGCAGGGCCACAAGGTGACAGAAAAATTTAGGTTCTGAACAGGTCTTGCAGCAGCTAGGGACTGCAGAAATGTTGAAAAGGTTACAACTAGTACATCAACTGATATGGGAGAGAAGGAATATCGGGATCAGTTCAAGTGCAAGAACAATATGTGTAATCGTGTTTGGAGTTCCTGAGTCAGTCGTTGAAAGTAGGTAAACACGAAGTGGGTAGGACAGAAGCAGGAAAATATGCCCTACTCTCACTGTCTCTCAGGATAACAGTACAGAAAAAAAAAGTGGGAATTTACCCGCCAGACTAAAAACTTAGCAAGGTAAGCAGCATTTTGGGACATACTCTTAAGTCCAGATTGCATGATAGTGCAGAGGGAACCATACAAAGAACTTTTGATGTGCTTGAATCAGAAGGGGGAGGATGAAATAAAAAAACAGGAATGAACATGGGTGGTTACATGAGCATGGAGGGGAGCCGGAGTTACTACTAAGAGCAGAGACGTTACCGACAACAAATTTTTGCTTGAATGTCATGTACACTTATACTGACATGTTCCTTGATAAGAGAGAGGAGTTTGAAACGATCTCCAAACTGTGGCCCACTAAATGAAAGGAACTTAAAGCCTTAATAGACAATGCGGCGATGCTCAACCCTAGCCACCTCATGGGGGACTTTAACTATGGGGACATTGACTGGAGAAACGAGTTCACCCCAAATGACTTGAATAACCCTGCTACTCTCCTTGTAGAAACTCTGAGAGATAATTTTCTGTTCCAACATGTTAGACGCCCGACACATTACAGAGGGGAGCAAACACCCAAACCCCTAGACCTCATCATAACAAACGAGGAGGGTATGGTGGCCAAACTGGAACACCTTGCCCCAGTTGGCACCAGCCTCCATATAGTGTTGTCATTCGTAGATGTTCCATCGGGGCATCTGTGATAATACTCTTAAGTACTTTACATATTATGCTGGTCAGGCTCACCGGTCTATAGTTGTTCGTGGAGTGACTATCGCCCTTCTTGAAGATAGGACTCACATAAGCCACTTTCCATTCACTGGGGACCATTTGTTCATCCAGGCATTTACAAAACAGAATCTTCAGGGGCTCTGCAAGCTCGTTGCACAGCTCTCTTAGCACTCTAGGATGCACCATGTCAGGTCCGGGACTCTTATGGACCTTTAGCCTGGACAGTTTATTTCTAATACCGTCTTCTGTGAACACAATGTGGGTCAGTGCTGTGTCGAACCGTCTGTCCTCAAACGCAGGAAGGTTAGTTGCATCCTCTCTTGTGAACACTGAGGAAAAGAAGCTGTTCAAAGCCTCAGCTTTATCCTGGTCAGAATCTGCGTAACTACCATCTTCAAGCCTCAGGTCTGATACTCCTACTCGCGTTTTCAATTTCGACTTTGCATAGCGGTAAAACGCCTTTGGGTTTGACTTGACCTCGCGTGCAACCAGCCTCTGGAACTCCTTTTCAGCCCTCCTACACTCTATCTTTGCTCGGTTTCTGGCTCTTGCATACATCCTCCTGTCTTGCTCATCGTTTGACCCAACCCACGTCTTGAATTTCTGGGTTTTCTTCTTAATTTTGTCGACCGCCGCATGGTTCATGTGTAGGGATCCCCTCGTATTCCTAGAAGCACTGGGTTTGGTCTTGGGTATATATTTATTGATCAAATGGGTCATTTTACTAGTTATGATATTCAGTGTAGTGTCTGCGTTCTTGTACCTTAATAAGTCAGGCCAGTTGATACCCCTCATCTCTTCCCTCATCCCATTGTAATTTCCCTTGTAATATTTGCACCTTGGCCTGGCCTTATCTTGAACTAGGTAACAGTTAAATCTGAATGACTACACTGTATGGTGACTGGTGCCAACTGGGGCAAGGTGTTCCAGTTTGGCCACCATACCCTCCTCGTTTGTTATGATGAGGTCAAGTGGCTTGGGTGTTTGCTCCCCTCTGTAATGTGTCGGGTCTCTCACATGTTGGAACAGAAAATTATCTCTCAGAGTTTCTACAAAAAGAGTAGCAGGATTATTCAAGTCATTCGGGGTGGACTCGTTTCTCCAGTCGATGTCGCCATAGTTAAAGTCCCCCATGATAAGGAGGTGGCTGGGGTTGAGCATCGCCGCATTGTTTATTAAGGTTCTTAAGTTCCTTTGATTTAGTGGGCCACAGTTTGGGGATCTGTAGATACACCCGACGATAAGTAAGTCCCCTCCCTTTAATTTAATTTTACACCACTTGGACTCTTCAAAAACATCCTCTCCCTGTACCCTCGCCTGGCTGGCTCTAAGGTCTTGCCTAGCGTAGATAACCACACCCCTCCTGCAGGATTCTTGAGTTAGGTTCGTAAATGAGTCATATCCAGCAATACTGAACTCACATTCCTCTGGGTCGATTCTCCTGTTCTTGTACAACAGTTCTACAACTCCTACAATATCTGGTTGGTGTACTCTTAGTAGTGTTTCAAACTCCTC